ACTTCTGTTATGATTTGGCATTATATAAATAAAACTGAATTGAATTATAGGGTTGTAACTAAAATAATATTCACTATTGATTAATCTCGGTCATTTTCAAAGATATTCAGTTTGCTGTCATAAAGGACATAAGAAGGCAAAACATTCACATTTGAGAAGCTGAAATCAGACATTTTTCTTCTTCTTAAAAAAAAAAAAGAAAAAAAAAAGAGAATTAATTATCAAAATAGTTGTTGATTAATTTAATTAGGGAAAACCTGGAAATTTAGAGACTAGTTTTCCAGTCATGGAAACATCTAGAAGTTGATTAAAATGACCAAATATCCTGCAAATAATCTATGTTGTCCCGGGAAAATGCTGTGGCCAATTTAATATTATGGTTAATCAGAAAGAGAAAAAAAATCGGCTGTGATTAGAACAGCCAAACATGGCACGAAAGCGAGAGAACACGAGTGTCCCTTGAACGATAACCACATGTGGCTGACCACTGTTTGTGAAAAACTCCTGGAAAACGATTTCTTAAAAAGAGTGGGAACCCTGTTAATAGATGACGACTGATCATTGCAGCTTTATTACTGTGGACGTCATAATTGTTATGAGCATGACGTTGGTTGGGAGCAGCGTTTACCTGTGGGCTCATCCTGAATCTGTTCCTCTGTCTCAGCAAACTCTGCTTCTGCAAAGACAAACACATACAGAGGTCAGCCCACAAGATCTTAACACATTGTAATCACATCCCGTGTGTGTGTGTGTGTGTGTGTGTGTGTGTGTTCATGCACGATCGTAAAACAAGGTTATCAGCACAAAAGATATTTCAAAAACACTGTTATTACAAGCCATGTTTTGAGACCTATTTAAAGGCAGAACTGCTAAAATGTTTTCACTTCACAATAAGCCATTATTTCTGCAGCCTTGTCCCATTAAATAAGGTCAATGGGAGGATTCCTTCCTGGTTAATTAAAGAGCTGGCTGTAAAAACAGATCAAACAGTGTTGGAATAGGATATACACCCACCAAAATGTTCCTTCACTTCAAGGATGCACTCACTTTGTTTCACCCTAGGTTTTATCAAAATGTGGTGTACCATTGCTTCAGTTTTGCAAAACTAGACCCTCTAATGCAGCTTTTACACTCCAGTGTTAATGCCTCAGGAAAAAAATAGAGAACTTATAGTCTACTCTCAGACACAGATGTTCTATCAGTAACTACCGGTCACAAACAACACTTCATTTCATTTCTGAGACATTTTATGCCTTTATTAGACAGTAATAGTGGAGGGATGACAGGAAACAAGGGAGATAAAGATGCAACAAAGGGGATTTGTTAGTGCAGTTTCTGTAAAGGCACTGAAAGTAATTTCTCCTATACTGAGTTTTTGGTGACCTTGTGCATTTTTCTCATGCCCTAATCATATTCTCTCAGACATTCCTACATGGACTGACGTCTTTGTTATCATACTAATGAAGACTGGTGTATAGCTTTGCTGTAGTTCTTTGCATCAGGCTGCATGAAGCCTCTAATTAGTGAATGTATCTTCGGTGACAATGTGTGCTCTCAGAGCTGTGTAGAAGCACAGCAGTGCTCCAGTGAAGAAAATGAAACTCACAAGGGAAAACTAAGAAGAAATGTAGGCCAAGTTCATCCGTGCTCGCTGCGCTCCAGACTCCAAACTGGTGTGTGATGCCAAGTGTAAAGTGTAACAGACCAGAATTCAAGAGCAGAGCTTTTATCCCTCCTGACATGAATCCAGGAAATGTAAGCTTGTCTATGAATTTCCCCAATTATATTCTTCCCACGTGAAAAGTCTCATTCATAAGCTGGACTGCCATTCAGAAGTACAGTATAGAGCAGCACCAGTCTGCCACACCAACACGTCAGTGCTTCACTGTGTGTGTGGATGAATGTAGACTGCAAGCAAGGCTGGTAGTGGGATGTATTGGGGTCTTGTGCATAGTTTTATACACATTTCCCTGGTAGAATTTTTCCGTGGGTTCTGTAGAAATTCTGTGGGCTTATCCCTTAACATAAAGTTTCCCCCGTTTTCCCCTGAAATAGCTTTAAGGCTGGAAAGAGTGTGTTATTCCACTAATCCACAGTATGAAACATATTATGTATCTGCTTGCTCTAGCTCTTCCATGGAAGCAATGCGCTGAGTTAAAAAGTCAAACACAAGGCTACGATGTTTTTATGGCTGCACAGTTTAATCAAATGGTATCAAATCAACATGTTCACCTTGACATACATTCTATATGTATATATTTATATGGGATCTTCAGATTTGTAATGAGGTGTAAACAGGCTTTAAATACTTCTAAGTTCACAAAGATGAAAGAGGAAAGTGGTTACTGGTGCTTAAGGCTTGTGACCCTTTAAAATGAAGCTTTCTCATGCATCGGTTATAGTCTTAGCATGAACATTAACTGTTGGGCCCAAAGAGGTGATTGGAGAAGTCAAAAGAATAAAAATAAGCATAATTAATAATAAACAGGTCTGCCTTTATTATCCCTGTAATTATCTTTAAGATTTATCCTTGGACCCCAAGAAAAGGGCTTGATAGTCTATGAGTATTCTTTTGTTTTTGTTATATTGAGTGAGTTTACGTGAGTGATGTGTCCGAGGCAAGGTCCAGTAAACTTGTCCTCCTCATATTTCATCTGGTGTTCCCGGTCAGTTCACTTCAGCTCAACTCAGCTCAGTTCATCACTCTTTAATTATCATCAGCATCAAAGCGTCACTGAAGTCCTTGAAAACATGGCTTCAAATTTTAAATAGCTCTGGAATATATATATATAAAAAAACATCTTTAGGTATAATCTATTCACTGCCTACTTAAAACCAATGGGAAGAGCTCAGCCAAAAACACAAACACAGAAATGTTTCATATGAAAAAAACATTGGCAGAAAATAGTGTGCTCATCCAAGACCTGATCACTCTTTACATTAAAATAAAAAATATAATTTAAATAATGTATCTTTCTTTTTGGTTTTAATTAAAACTGATTAATTGTTGGTATGACTTGGTTTGGTTTTTTAAACATCCATTGGGAGACTGTGCCCTAAACTTCCAGGAGGTCAGAGGTCATCCCTTGAACCAAATCAGTTTTCTGGAAGTTTGTTTATAATTGTTGATCTACTTGCTGATTGGTGATCTATGTGTTCTGTATGTTTCATTTGTGTATTCACACACCAACAGGTGGCAGCATACACCTCACACACAGCCTGACAACAATAAGTGTGTCAGAGAGGAAAGATTCCCCCCTGCAGAAGCAGGATGTGTCCAGACATGGGGGTTTATACAGTCATGTGATCCTCTCTGCTCCTCCTCGTCTCTTATGTAATCCCCATCTCAGCCATGTGCTCCCCCTATAACCACTGACCTGAATATGGTCATTTTGACCAGTTACCCGCAGAAATAGACATTTTCCACCTCAAGCAACTGAGGTATAGACGACAGAGGTGACTTTGGGTGACATTAGACATAACCATGAAGGAATGAAAGAAATGAGGTGGATTCTCCAGCCTACACACATGCCTTTGTTCACAAAGCCTGTAGTTCACAGAGGCAGCTGTCACACCACTTCCTCATTGGCAGTGTCTGGTGAAAAATTACATTGTTTTTCCACCGCGGATGATCATTAAAACTGAAGGGAATGACATGAGATCAATTTACATACACAGAGGAACTACCAGCCAAATCCATGCCCTCAAAAAGAGCAGCAATGCGTAATGGGCAGAACAAAGACGCAGATGAAGATAGAGTTTTGATCAGGATTTTTAATAATGAACAAGATGATGAATGTGATTGAGGATAACACATTAGTTTAGTGTAGCCTGAGGTTTGTTTATTTATCCATGCACTGCATTCTTTCCAGCCTGTTATATGCTCTCCTTCCTCAACCAGACTGCTCAGTCTGTCTGTCACTCTCTCCGCCCAGTTAGGGATGATCATTGTCTGGGCTCTTCTTATGGAAGCCCACTGCCACCAAGAAAAGAAAATAATACACTAAAGAGAAAAAAAAATATTCACATGATTTTGATATACTATCTCTTAATTTTGACTCAATAACAAAAAAAAAAAAAGATTTACTAGAGAGAGGGGGTGACATGCAGCAAAGGGCCCCAAGTCTAATTCGAATCCATGGCCGCTGCAGCAGGGACTCAGCCTTGGTACATGGGGCGTCAGCTTTACCAGGTGAGTGCCCCAAAAGTCTAAGACAGTCTTATCTCAGCAAGCCCTTTGGTAACTTACAGGTAGCTCTATGATATAACTATTTTTGGAAGATACATTTTGGTCTCAGAGTTGAAATCTCATAGCCTAGTTGTTGCTGCCAAATTGGTTTGTCTGAGGGTAAATTAAAGGTTTGTGTTTTTACTGGACAGTTAACACTGCCTCTGTGTATGTTTGGATCTATTTAATGTACATATCTCAGTTCACCTGTGAACATCTGGTGCAGTCAGGTTAGAACACTATTGCCTTAATTGATACTGCGTCATCCCATTTTAGAAACTCCAAAATTCAACTACGCTAAGTTTCTATCACAAGGATTCAAATACGAACATGATGTACTTTGTATTAAGAAAGGTCTATATTACAATTTTGACTTATCTCAAAATGTTAACTTATTATCTCATCATTTTGACAAAATGAGTATATATTTGTTCATTTTGTCTCATCATTTTGACTTACTAGAGTATTTTGTATTTATATCACACAAGACCGTGCATAACTAAAGTGATTCATTTCTCTCTCTTCCTGGCACTAATAGGCTTCTATACATTCTCCACTTACACCAATCATAACAATAGGAGTGGGCGGGGCCACGTCGGGTTAGGTTGTCACTCTCATTGGGTAAATAACAAACCACCCACTTACTCTGTAGCCTACCGCTGGGGACCCACGAGAAGTTTAACGTTAGCGAAGCTCCACGAAAATGACCCCGAGGTGAGCGGAGATGACACACACGAAGCTCACGAAAGCGACGTCGCCGGGTGTCTGATAAGCAGCGGACCCTTACGTGTGTGCGGTTCGGGCTCGTACTTTGTCAGCCCACCTGCACTCGGGGTTGTGGCAGCTAGCGGAGATCGTTAGCCGCTAACTACCGCCGCTAGCGGGCTAACTACTAACATTAGCGAAGTGAACAAGTCGCGCCGTGTGATGCTAACGACGCCGAGGCTACTTTTGGAGGCTTGCTGAGTTGGATATATTCCCGGGAGGGACTCGTTGCCACCGGAGCTGGTGTTACCAACGCCGGAGCCAGCTACCTTGTTGTGCTTCTCCCCTGCCCTCTTCTCGCTGTTGGCGGAGCGTCCTGTGACTGCACACCTCTGCTCCGAGTCCGAGCATGCTAGCGACCGCTGCAGACAGCTAGTGTTGTCACCTTAGCTCACGAACCATCACAGTTTTTTTTTTTTTTTTCCCCCATTTGTGAGTAGATGCTATCACTGGTACGAGCTTTGGGAGACAGACGGAGTCGTATCATCCCACCGTGACGCCTGTATATGAAGTAAATGTACTTTGATGTCGTATCACCCGACAGCTAGTAGTCCCTCCAGAAGAACCAGGCGCGGAGCATGCAGGAGAAGAAAAGACTTCAGATAAGTAGATAGGGGACGTCGGACACAACCGAGTTACATTGGACTGTGTGGTTAACTTACCACCAAACAGGGACTGCTTTTGGTGGCCGGACTGACAGAGAAAGTAAAGGATGAAGAAGTTTTCCAGAATGCCAAAGTCCGAGAGCGGCGGGCTCGGAGGGGCGTCCGGGTCCGGCTCCAGCTCCGGAGTCAGCAGCTACTTCGGGAAAGTGTTTGCAGTCGGCCGGTATCAAGTCACCGTGGAAGAGCTTGTCGCAGAGGGTATGTACAGTAGCATAGCATTACAGTGTGTTTTCAGTAACACTTTGGTCACAGTGTAGCAGCATGATATTATCTGGGACACACCCGTCATCCCCTGTTTGGAGAGTACAAGTCACACAGACACAGCAGTGAACAACTCCTCCAGCTCTGTCGCTTTTATGGGTTGGTCATTGGTTTGCACTGCACAGTAAAAGCTCAGTTTTTCCCCTGAACATCTGCTTATTTCCTAAGAAATTATAGGCGGAGTGATTGAAATAGGTCGCTCTCCTCTTCCAGGCTGTGAACGCTTTGGTATTTAAAGTGGGGCACCGGGGATTTGGTACATAGCTAGATTTAAAACTGCTAACTTTTCCCCATACAGCTATAGTTACATCCTGCTTCAGCTGCTCCACTGGGGGGGTCTGCCCCCAGGATAACAACGGCCCAAGCCTCCTGTGTCAACATACAACATGTAAAGATCCAGCCATTAAAAAAAAAAAAAAATGTCCTTTGTCCGACATGTTCACACAAGTTCTTCTGCAGTTTGCTTTTATCCCATGAGGATTTTTTTTTTAGGGAATATGAAAAGTTTTGCAGCTGTTAAAATGTACAAAGACTGGTTTCTCCATAGGCTGGCTGAGAGACAATAATGTTCTGTGTTGGGGGTGTACTAATTTGTTTAGATTGGATAACATAGAAACAAGTAACAACAGTGCTTACATGGATAAAGACATAAGGGATGACTTATGCAATGGCTGTGGCTCCCCATTACAGCTCTCGAGGATGTCGAAAGGCTTCTTAGAAATGTTCGAAATTTCCTTTATGGCTTCCTTCACAGAGCCCTGTGTTCAAAAATGTTGAAATGAGAATCTCCTCCACGCAGTCAGACAGAGAAAATGAGGAAGTGTGGAAACAAACACATTTCATAAAAGAGCTTTAACAAACGGCCCGATGCTTATCACAGTGTATTAGTCTGATTTACAGAACTACACAGCTTAGTTGTGCTAGGAAGTAGTTAGTCATATTTGAATACTCTTGACAACAGAATAAGGTGATGCTAATTAGCTATTATTGGAAAAGTGCAGTCACACTTTACCCATCAGAATAATATTCACAAACATGCTTTAGTTTGGGTTGAGCACTAGATTTTAAAAGATCCCTCTGTAATACTGGGTTCTTCTGTAGAGGGATGATGGCACTGGACACACAGTGACAGATTTTCCACATAAATCAACTGATTACTCAAATTCTGTCTCCACTGTCCGAGGATTTACAAAGTCAAGGTCAGCCTATATAATAGAAACTTGGAAGCGTTCAGGTAGGTAAAAAGGGAAACTATGCTCACGGGCAAAACATTGCAGAGCTACACCCACCTGACTTTTATCGGAAATCTCAAATGTAACATAATGTAAAGAGACATCATTACATACATTTTGCATTTGTACTAATATCATTACTGAAACCATAATCATTCTTTGTAAATAATTATGAATAAACACTCATTCAACATTTCAGACAGGAAAAGCATGTCTCTTCAAGTAACCCAACACTGTAAACATGCTGTTGAGTCAAACTGTAAACCTAATCTCACTTGCCAGTCGCCACCAAAAAAAAAAAAGGGAAAAAAAGCAGGCAGTCATGAGTCTGTGTCATCATATAATCATGTGAAGTGGCTGTGGTTGGTTTTTACCAGAAGCATAGTGACCTTTGCTCATCATGCTGTCCCAAGGTAAGAGCTGGGTGTCTGCTGCACAGTTAATCATATCATTGTCTGTTTCATTTTACTTACAGTGTCTGCTGCATATTAGAAATAGACAAACATGTTGAAGTGAGACTCCAAAGGTGGAATATGTTCATGCATTGAGGTGGAGTAAATTGCTAGGTGTAAAATCTGCTTAAGTAAATAGCCATTTGAAGACTTATCCAGAGTGAAACAGATCTGAAACAAAAAGCAAAATAGTAATATTTAATAAATAGTATATTTATATCTCTAAAGTGATTTCAGTTATCACTGTCACTTTTCATTGTATTGACTGACAGCATTTTTTACTCTACTGGATATAATTTATAATATAATGCGATACCACACATCAGCTTGCTTAGGTAAGTAAAATACTCCAGAAAATGCAAGAACACAGAAAGCTACTCAGTTACAGTAATGGTAAAAAATCAAAGTGATTCCATCTCTACCAAAGTTTCACTTGCATTCAGGATGTAAGTACAGACTTGCATGGGCAGCTTGAGGATGCTGTCATATGAACATAGCACTTTACAATGTCATGAGTACACAGGCAGTGGAGCTCTTTACTCTGTCGGTGCTGGGCCCATGTGCTGCCTGTTCAGTAACACAGGACCTCTAACCAACCAACTGCTGTTAATTCTTTGCTGAGGTTTGGGGGTTTGTGGTTGGAACCACTTGGCAGGTAACCAGCCATCATTTGGAGGTCCTGTTCTATTTAAAGACCTACTATGCTGTGAACATGGTAAAAGTTGCAAGGTTAATTTGGGGGATTTACCTGTCATTATGGCCCAGAGACCACCGAGTAACTGCACCAGGCACTTTTGCAAGAATGTATTTAAACTTTGAAGTGTTACTGGTTTAGATTTTCTTCTTTTGGGCCAGATGTGAACAATGACATTGGAACTTCAGTATCTTCATTAGTAACACGGGGGTGCCTTGGTAGCTCACCTAGTAGATTGCACCTTACTGCAGCTAGTTATTTAGTTGGCTTCAAGTGAGACTTAACATTCACACAGTTTCTTTTTACTGTACCGCAGTATTATTAGTATTAGGCAAACATTGCCCCGGCCTACTAGCAACATGCAAAGAGTTGAACAGACTAACCTACAAAGTAAACAGCAAAACAATATAAACAGGGCAAAACTTACAGCTTCCAAGTTTGTAGTCAGGTCACGGACAGTCAATATTGATCCATCCTTGAACTTGAACCGTTTCCGGGCTCTCGTTGATAAAGCAGTGTGCAGTAAAGCGCATGCAGTATAATGAACCATTACACAGTTTTTCCGTCGTCATGAGGATATTTCTGTAACATTTCCACTGAAAATAAAGTGACTACACTGGGTCCTGCCTCAAGTGAGGGTGACACAAAACTTTGTGCTGGTTTGGGCAGCCAACAACAGAGCAGTTCCAGTTATCTCTTAGCTTTGTACTGGCCATTGTTCACTTCCTCAGATGGTGGGACTAGATGCAAACTTTTGTGTTGGTTATGCAGTCAACAAGAGAGAGAAATTGGCATGCTTTGTACATCTTTGTGCTACTGGGGATGCGTTAACAAGGAAATTAACCCTAACCCAAAGTGCAGGAGCAGTGTTTTCTCTAACCCCCTTTGGGAGGTGGTTTTGTCACTTTGCACACAGTTTACATGCACAAAAAAAAAATCTATATAGCACACTACAGCACTATATAGCACCCCAAAAATATGGCCTCTTTAACTGCAGAATGTCTGCAGTGTGCGATAACGTGTCATATTGGTCTGCATTTAGTTTCCTGTGTCATTCCTTTCCGTCTTGTCATAAAGCGTTTCAAGGGGGGTTCATCAGTGTGCACTGGGTTAGATCAGGCTGACAAACCTGCAGCTGGACACTGTGGCACTTAGGTGACTGATGTTTAGGTACTGAGTAGATCATGTGATGTTTTTGATTATTCAACTGTGATCCAGCAGCTGTGCCAGTTTAATGAAAAGCATGAGACTCCCCTAAAGCAAAACTTAAAACTATAGTTTGCTGGAGAAGAGAAACTCGTGAAAACATGTTTGAATGATCAGGTATGTTTGTTCAAAATAATATTTCCTTCAAATATATTCAAAATTAGGATTCTCTTGGTGCTATGCGGTTAGCTATTTTTTCCAGTGGCATATCTACAGAGCTGGACTGTTCTACATTGAATAGGAACATAGTCATTTCCCTTCACTCCCCTTTAGCCTCTGTGGTTTCTCTTGAGTTCTATCTATGATGCAGTCTCCAAGAGGAACACAGAAATGACATGTAGGAACAGGATGCATCTGTGAGCATGTCCACCATTTTCTCTGCTAACTCTTATAGTTTTGGGGTTCCTTGTCAGGACCTGGAGGGCTCAGAAATGTGTAGAAATTAATTTTGGGGGGTTGTTAAAGTTTGGTAGTTACAGAAATAGCCTGGCAAAGTATGGGGATGTCACACTAGACAAACATGAACTGTTGTTTTAAAGACTGATTTTAAATTACGGCTGCACAATTAATGTAAATATTAAAATCACAATATGGCCATGTGCAATGTGCAAATAGCAAAAAAGTTTGATAAAACAGCATTATAATAAAGTACTGTAGTGCTGCAGGGCCTACAAATCTTGGTCTCCAGGTTTAAAAACACATTTGTTTTGTACGGACCCCAAAAGATTTTAATATTGTTTTCAGTGTTCCAGATACTTCTTTATTAAATATTTTCTGTCAAAACAAAAGTCTGGAGAAGTATACAGTGTTAAAATGGATAATATGTAGGGGACTACACTCAGTTGCCAGTTTATTGGATCTACCTAGCTTTTACTAATACAGTCTAATATAACTGTCAATAAATCCTAGCTTCATGAAGGTTATAATATGTTTTTGTTGGAACTGCTGCAGAGAGCTGTTCATTTAACTTCGTGTGATTTTAGAGGAGGTAGTTTGTGGTGCTGCGTTGCCTTGTACAGAGAGGTGTTTCTGTTTTCTAGACCACCCTCATTCATCTAAACGGGGTGACTCAGATAATAAACTGTCAGTATACAGTTCAACAACATCACAAACTGCAGCCTCCAACATTACTGTACAGTTGAATCAACACCTCTTAAAAACAGCTTCAACTCAATCTGGGCATTATAACCTTCTTGAAGGTAGCATTAAGTGCAGGACTGTTGTATTAGATCACATTAGCTATAGCTATGTGTACCTAATGAACTGCAGACGAAGTGCACACAGTTTACCGACACTTTTATTTTTATTTTATCTGATAAAGGCATCATAGAAAGTATTTTAGGGTATATACAC